CCAGGCACATATTTATTAAACGTTTTTTGTTTTGTTTTTTTGCAAGTGATGAAATTTGTATTCCAATTGCTTAAAAGTTTTATTTTGGAATTCTGTTGTTGTAACAGTTTGATAAATTGGGTTTTGTTCAACCTTGGTTGTAGTGGCATTTTTGTTTTAGTCCATTACAATGTAACAGACAAGTTATATTATAGAGTATAAAGCAGTAACTTTTGTATTCATATTTTTGAAATCCTTACGATTAAATTTTTTGTTAAACATAAAACAAAATAACTGACAAAAGTATAAACTCCTGCTTGAGAGATAAATGATGTGGCTATCAGACTATATAAATATGAACCCATTTAAGTTCAGTGTGAGTTTACAATCAATGCTAAATTTACATAAACAAATAAACAAGACAAATAAATGGCTGTGAATGTAGTGTTAAATTAATACTTTTGTTGATTCACCAAAAGACTATGAAATGAAATAGGTGTTTCACTAGCAAAGAATGAAAAAAAAAACATTTTTCTGTTCTTACCTCTGGGTTTGGTAGTTCACAGATATCATCAATAGCTTTTTCCAAGTCTACAGTTAAGCCATTTGGTGCTCCACTGATATCGAATACAAACAAAATCTTGAGTAGATTCTTTACCCCCTAAACTAGTTTGTTCTATTTTAATTTTTGTAAATGCAATATATATTTTTCTATGTGCAATGAATTTGAAAGATTAAAACACTTTTCATTACAAATAGAACTTGGATATTAGTGTAATTTGCTGATCAATTCATTGTCCAGCTGATTAAGTGATTACATTAATCTAATCAGTTATTTTCATGAGGCTAATCTTCCTATTTTCAACTTGTCTTGGATTTTTCTAAAGACATTTTTAAACAAAGTTTAATTTAACCTAATAGACATCTTCAGATACGACAATTTAATTGATGGAAATAAACATTACTTTAAGACACTGATTATAAATCAGAAAAATAGCAAATGTAAAAATGACATGTAAATTACTATTACATACAAGTTAACATGACATTAATTGATCTAATCAAAAATTTTATTAATCGTTAATTTTGTGACACTAGTTAATTCTCACGAGTCATTGGTTTTATTGAGCACTAATTAGAAAATCTCTACAAAGCTACTAATCTTGAAAACCACATTTTGTATATGTGGTCCACTAATAAAAAAAATAGTTTGAAAGATATGTATGTAACTATCATGTTTTTCCCTACCCTATATATGTAAAAAGTAAATAATACTGTTACTCTGAGTCCATTTTTAACACATTTTTTAAAATAAATATCAAGTAAAAGCTTATCAAATAGCATTGAAAAGAATCTACCATATGAAGTTAATTAACAAAGTTACTTAAGCTTAATTTATAAAAACATTCTCATCATATATATATATTAGCCATCATTAATGTCAAAAGAAAAGTTTAAATAAAAATTCCATTACTTACTAAATTGCAATACTTCAAAATATATGTATTTAAACATAAATAAAACACGCAATAGTCAAACACTATACAAAATACTTTTATTTAAACAAAATAGATCAAGAAACTTTCTAATTCGACATCTACCTCAACAATATATCTGTTCTTTAAATATTCTTAAAAACTTACTTTTTTCTATGTTCCCTTACTGAACACTTCTGCTTTTTAGTCTCCACTTTTTCCAGATACTTTGACTCTACCTCATCCAACAGTTGATCAATGTCATCAGCCATGCTTCATAGCCAAAAAACATTTCCACAAATATGCATTGTGATGTTAGTTAAATATGCATGTGCATAAAATAATACACAAACAATATATTTTTATTGGCTACTAATAATTTTGGAAATACTGATTTTTTTTACACTTGTCAAGTTACCAAGCTAAAAAAAAAAGATGACTCACTATTACAAGTATCACTTACAAAATTATGACAAAGACCATATAAATTTAAGTTACACCCAGCTCATAAGAAAATATCTGTAATTAAAGTTGTTCTGTTCCACTTATTTTGTATATTTGGTAAACAAACCTTTATAGTTTATGAGTTGGTATCAAAGAGTTCATGAAGTATTGCAAAAGACAGCAAAAAACAGTTTTCTGAATCAACATTTCACAAGTGTGAATCATACAATACTCTTTAGAGACAGTAAATATTGTTAGTAATTTCATGGTTATATATATTTATATATATTGATAAACACTGTGGTAGATCTTGTAAGATTAGTTTAAGCCTTTGGGGGCTTCTGTCTATTAATTAACAGACATTTATTAAAATGGCATAAGTCCTCATCAAAGTCTTGCACAAAATTACTATAATTTAACGTTTTTACTGTCTAAAATAATATGTATATAAATTTTAGAAATCTGCTTAATACCTTTTGCCACAGTTAAACACACTATCATAGGTTTCTGTTACTTAACCAATATCTATTTCTTTCCTCACACCATCAGAGAGCCTCTCACATGAGAGGAAAGTCCTTTCCACACTTCCACATCTAAAACATGTCATCTCCCACTTCTCAATACTGTTTGTTTTTTCAGGTGTTCTTACCCACACATCAGCTGAAACTCTAAAATTTGACTTTGTACCAAAATTCTTACCTCTCATTCAATGAATGTCTAAAAAAATTAGAATATTTGATAAAAAACAATAATGACTAAATAATATAAAGATCCACTAAGTGAAGTTTTTCATATACCAGTCTCATAAACATGCCAATTCAATATGACCTGTATAGTTGCATGTTGGTTTGTTTATTTTGTTTTTAAAGAAAAGCCACATTGTGTTATTTGCTGTGTCCATTGCAATGAATTGAACCCTGGATTTTAACAATTTACCACTGTCTCATTAAATGTCAGAACTGCAGTAATTGTGTTGTCTAATACACTGCAGCATACTTTAATTTTATAAGTATTAACTTGAACATAAACTTTATCTCAAAATTTTAAAATTATAACAAAGCTTCTTCATAAACAATATTTGCTGTTTGCTTCCATCATCAACAAATAAAGGTTTGAGGTGATCCCACTCTTGAATATCCTACATCTCAGTGACCATGAGAAAAGCATAGTTATTTAAGAAACAATCCAGCAACTTTCATTCTTTGACCTCGAATCCCTTTTGAATAATCAACATTATCTAAAGCGTTAACCTGCCAACACTGTTTGGGATTAACTCAGTAGGCTGGGAGTCATTAACCAACAGGCTTTACAAAACAGAAATAGGATTCAGTTCAATTTTGACCACCTTAGGACATTCCCCATAGTTCATAGTGTTTACATACAAATTTTGGTTGAGAGTGGCCCAATACTATTTGGAGGAGTTAGGGTGCAAACAAACACACATTTCGTCTTTATATAATATAGATAAGTATGATAATCAATTTCTTTATATATTTAAGTTTACATTAGTTCTAATTCATAATAAATTTTTGTCTCAATCTTACTAAAATCATATTTAGTTAAAAAATACTATTTCAATGCTTAAAACTTATTCTTAGATTAGGAGTCCACTTCTGAATACTTACTTTATGTTTAATTTGCAAATTGGTATGGGTTGTTATTATTAATATTATTATTAGAAGGACTGTCAGTGTCAGTAGTACTCACGGTTTTGACTGACTGAAACTGCTGATAGCAACACAAAAAAGCCAAAAACAAAACAAAAACTTTACTTTAAAATAAAATCTAACAAACTTTCAGAGTAGTCCAATTTCGCAAAACGTGAAACCCATTTCTACAAATAATTATTGTTTCAACTCGTTGCCGTATCCAATGTTTACATATACCAACACTACTGTGACGTCAAAAGCGCTCTGAAATTAATGTTTTACGTCATATCCGATAAGTTTACAGCTATAACAAAATAATGTCCCCTCATTTTCAAATCACTGTATTGTATACTTTTTGTGAAACACTGCAAACTTTATTTTCACATTTCTATAAATTAGCCAATTAAGAACTTTAAAATATTTTTAAAAGTCTTTTAAGCAGCGACATGTGGTATATAAATATATATATGGTTTGTTCCTCGCCGTTACAGATTTGTTTGCGAACAATCTAGAAAAAACAACTTCAGTCTAATATTCGATGACGAGGAACTCACTTTGAGACTAATAATGGTTGGAGACGGCTTGAATGGGTAATGAAGAAAAACTTTAATATAAGTTTAACATAACAGCAAATGTACAAGGTTTTGTCATCATCAGGTACAAGTAACTTACACTGACACAGATATATATATCTGAACAGTATTGAACAAAGAAGTTACATGACCGGATACTGTTGCAAAACTTAGAAGAGGTATCTTGGCACCCCGGTTGATAGAGATAGTTACCGGTTGCCAGCTAAACTTCTTCAACGTTATGAATTTGTAAAGAACTCAGTCGCCATGGGTTTTTTTCTTGGACCTGCCTTTGCCAATATTTTCGTTGATTTCCATGATAAAGAACTATTCAACAAAGTTACCAGACCTGTTGTTTACTTCTGCGATGTAGACGACACATTTGCCATTTGAGTGTTTCTTATAAGATCTAAACTCGTTGCACTCGGCTCCCAAATTTACTTTCGAAAAGGAACAACATAACTCTTTACCGTTCCTAGACGTCTTAGTTGAAAAAGATGACTTTCGTTTTCGCACCAGTATATACAGAAAACCTACCTTTAGAGGACAATACACACGATGGGATTCTTTCAGTCCTAAAAGTCACAAAACCAACCTTATTGATACTTTAGTCCATCGGGCTCTAGTTATGTGTTCAAAATCTAAACTAGATTTCGAATTGAAGACAATTAAAACTATGTTACGTCTCTGTTCGTTTGTTAATTTCCCGTAGAAATTCTTCCCGAGAAACTTCAGGGATACAAGTCCTTTCTTAAATAAAACTAGTTTATTCTTTCTCAATACAACTTTGCAATACACGTAATTTCCACAGTCACTTTAACTTCAACACACACTATAATTCACAACGATTCACGCACTTTACTTACTGCTTGACTCGATTATCTGTCTCTATATCTCTCTGTCTGCAATTCAATTATTGCCGTCACTTTATTTGCCGGCTTATATACTAAAATAGAGGGCGCCTAGCAAATACTGGATTATTCGTGATGTTCCCTGATCCTTCTAGAAACTCATCACGTGTTACCAGAGTCACGTGACTTCCGCTGTCGTAACAACTATTTTACTAGAAAATGAGTATCCAGAAAACGTCATCAATCAAATTACTTCAATGAAAATTGCGATCTTCTCAATTGCCCCAAAATATGGTCCCAACAAGTGTCCTGTTTACCTAAAACTACCATGGAATGATAACATTTCAACAACATTTGAAAAACAATTGAAAATGGCCATTAATAAATGTTTTCTTGCAGTGAACCCCTACGGTGCTTATCCCACACGTAAGCTGTTTCCTGCAACACACAAAGATGTGATACCTACCACACAGAAAAATATAATTATTTATTGTTACGTCTCTGTTCGTTAGTTAATTTTCCGTAAATTCGTTCCGACGAAACTTTAGCGACACAA